CGGCCTCTAAGGCCCCTCCCAACTTTCTATGATTCTATGGTCCCAAGCCCCAAAAAAAGGTATCAAGGAGGAGAAGGAGGTTGGAAGGCTGAGAGGCTGTATGGGGGAGCCATAGATGTGCTGATTTCTGAGGGGGAGAATCCCCTCTTCAGCTTTGGCCTCTGCCCAACAGCTTGGGAGGTAAGGGAGTGACTTAAATGAAATTCAGTCCTACAGATAGTTACTAAGTGCTTGGCACATAGTATGTGCTTAATAAATGTTTATTGACTGTCTACTATGGGCCAAGACCTATACTAAGCATTGAGGAGAGAAAGAGAAATTGAAACAGTTCTTGCCCTTGTGGGGCTTAAAGTCTATAGAGAGAAAGCATCATATACACAGAGAAGTCTATGCATAATATGTACAGTGTAAATTCTCTGGAGTGTACGTATGGAGGAAACCTTTGGAATAAGTACATTCTAGACATGGAGAGGGAATGTTCTAGACACAGAACAAAAAGTCAGCCAGTTTGTCTCAAGCAGAGAGTGTGGAGTTTGTAAAGATGGGATGAACCCTGAATGTGGAGGTTCTTAAACCAAACCAGGCTGAGGAGGTTTGTATTTTATCATGGGGCAGTTGGGAGCCACTGACCCTTCTTGAGCAGGGGAGTGATATGGTCAGAGCTCTGCTTTAGGAAGATCCATTTGGCAGTTGTTTGCAGAATGGATTGGAGAAGGAGAAGGGAGAAACTTGAGGCAGGGAGAAGTTCTATCAAAGGGGAAGAATACCTGGGAGGATGCTCTAAGGCAGTTTTGTTCTGTCCACTTCATGATTTCACCTAGGGCAAGCCTTGTACCTAGCACTGCTATGAGCATGTTAGATGCCTTTGAGAGCTTCCTATGGTCAGATGGATATATTTGCCTATTGATATGTTTCTATTTGGTCTCTTGAACCTACCCCAACATGGCAAATTCCTTAAGGACACTTATTGTCTTCCTTGGTTCTCTACCCTTTTCTCCCTAGAGGTCATGCCAAAGGTTTTCATCTTCCTTCAGACTCTACCTAATCACAGCAGGTATCCTTTAAGTTTTTTAAAATTTTATTTTCATTGATAGCTTTTATTTTTGTATCACCTTCATTTCTAAATATGTCTCTCTCCTGTCTCCTCCCCTCCCCAGAGAACCATCCCTTGTTACAAAGTCAAAAAAGAAAAAGGAGGGGGAATAAAGAGGAGGAAAATGCATTTTCTGCAAAGCCAGTCAACATCAGTCATGTCTAATCAGACATGCAAAATTCCATATCTGTAGACCCCCATCTCTGCAAACAGGGGAGTGAGAGACATTTTCTCTCCTCTTCTCTGGGGCCGTTACAATTAATGACTAAACGTGGATATTATAATTAGATAGCCTTTAATGTCCCTGTTTTGGTTCTTTACATTTACGTGGTTGTAGTCTTGTATATTGTTTCCTTGACTTTATTTGCTTCAATCTGTGTCAGTTCATAGAAGTCATCCTATGCTTCTCTGAATTCTTCCTATTCCTAGTATAATAAAACTTGAGCTGGAAAGGACCTCTGAGGTCATCAGATCCAGCCCTTTCATAGATTTGTGTCAGTTCCCTAAAGATTTCAGATGGCAGCCTTTTGTCAGGGATGTTTGATGCAAATCATTTTTCCCAACCATCACTTTTACCCTGTGTCAGGTTACAAATCCCGACTCCACCGCATCCCCCATCTGTATGTGATGTGAAATGTGACTTTTCATATTTTGACCATTCATCCATTTGGAATTTATGTATGATGTGGTAGAAATGCTGGTTTGAGAGAAATGATTATTAATAACTAATGATTTGGGGAGATCTCGAGTCCCTTCCCCCTTTTTCTAAAGTCCTGATTTCAAAAGTTCAGTCTCTTGAAGAACAGTACTGATAATGAGATTGGACTAACCTTCTTAACCATCTTGTTCATACTCCACTTCCACCATGGGGAAGCCATTGTGTTCTACTCAGGTTTGGGTGGAGACAAATTCTTTTAATAGATTGCCCAAGGCTGGGAGTAACTTTGAAGTAAATAGCATAATCAAGGTTCATTTGAATAGGTTCAGCCACTTATTGTAATATTCATTCTCTCATTAATTGTTAGCCTATCAGAGTTGATTGCCACCCCTCTTTCAATGGGCATATAAGCTATGAGCCCATCACCATGATTGTCTGTGGTCAGCCAAATGACCATTGTTTTATTAAAATGCTGACATTATTAATAAAATGGTTAAATTACCCAGAAATTATGTCTCTCAAACTTTTTAATCACCACGGGTTTAACCAGTTTTCCTAGCAATTATTATTGAATAAAGAGTTTCCCCGGGAGTTTATGCCCTTGAGCTGATAGAACACCGATGGGCGTGTGTATTTGTTTCTAAGTCTCCAGTCCAGCTAATTAACAGGAATTGCTAGATTTGAAGATGGAGAACCTGCCTTCAATTCCCCAACTAGTCACTTTGAGCAATGGATCACAGTGGCCTCCTCTATAAAAAGACAGGGCAGGACTAGGGGATCTTCAAGGTTGCCTTCAGCTCTAAATCTAAGACTCTGTGTTCCTCAGACACATTCTGCACTTTCTAACCTCTACCCCTCGGGCTGCTACAGGCTCAGTGTGAGTCAGCAGTGAGATGTCAAGAGCAGAGCTTCCAGGACCTGGAAAGGAGAGATCTGCTGGGTGCTGCCCCAGTCAGCTCAGACCTCATCTAGAGTATTGTCATCAGTTCTGGTTGTCCCAGTTGAAGAATGGCCTTGATAGGCTGAAGAGTGTTCAGAGAATGGCAGCTAGAATGCTTCAGGGTCAACTCTGGGCCAAGAAACTGGAGAAGAGAAGACTCAGGGAAGACATGATGCCTGTCCTCATGTATGGGAAAGGCTGTCATGTGGATGAGTGGCTCCAGAGGACATTTGCCCTTGGGCCTGATGTCAGGAAAAAGGTGGAAGGGATTCCTCAGGAAGTGGTGGCTCCTCCTCTTTGGGGGTCTCCAAGCAGAGCCCCAGTAACTCCTCTCTGGATGTATCAGAAGGGGCATTCTTTTTGTGTTTCAGTTGGACTACCTGGCCACTGCGGACACTCCCAACTCTCAGATTCTACGAGTCTGCCCTCAGTGTTCTCACTGCCTGAAATGCCTTTTCTCCCAGCCTCCTTCATCACTTGTTCAGAGCGTAGGACCCCTGTTCTAGAGCAGGCAAAGGGGGAACCCCAGATGCCAGCTAGTCCAAGCCCATCCTTACGCAGATGGGGAAACAGAGACCCAGGGAGGCTGAATCCAGCCCCCTCATGGAACAGAGGGAGAAGCAGAAGCACAGGCCACAAGTAATAAGTGAGTACTGTCCATCCTTCAAGGCTCAGTCCCGAGGCTATCTTTCCCATGAGTATTTCTTTAATGCTCTTTCCCATTTTGAGATGTAATAGTCTCAGTGAAGAAGGTAGAGTCAGACGAATGCATTGTACACATCTTGTACACATTGTACACAGCCAAATTGGCCCCAAATCCCCCAACTCTTATCTAAGGTCTTTCCAAATACCCCTCAGGTGCTAGTGCTTCTCCTTCAGCCAGTGAGGTGGCACAGTGGATAGATGGTAGACTTGGAATCAGGAAAATCTGGGCTTAAATCCCGTCCCAGCCCGGTACCGTCATGTATGACCCTGAGCAAATCACTTCATCTCTGGCTGTCTCAGTTTCCTCAGCTATAAAATGGGGATAACAGTTCCTCCTCCACAGGGTCGTTGGAAGGGCCAAACGACATAACATATGGAAAGCACTGGTATTCTTGGTTGCAGCCGCAGTTCCTGGCACACTGTAGGTGCATAATAAATACCTGGTGACTGACTGAATGTGATGTAGTGGACAGAGCTGATCTTTGGAGTTAGAAGACCTGAGTTCATGTCCTGGCTTCTGCACTTACGACCTGTGTGACCCTAGAGGAGGTCACTCCTTCTCTCCTAGGCCTGTTCTATAAAATAAAGGCCCTGGCTGAGATGACTTCCATAGTCCTTTCAGCTCTACATCTGTGGACCATCCTATGAGTGTGTGTGTGTGTGTGTGTGTGTGTGTGTGTGTGTGTTAGAAAACCAACTACAAATATCTGAAGGTGTCAGTTTCATGTATAGTATTTCTTCTTCTTTGTATATTTAAATTTTTTAAAATTTAAGCTTATAATAATTTTTTTAAAAGACCATTCTTTGTTCAGCGCTCTTGGTAGTGGGGCAGTAGGTCAAGCCCTGGGCCTGGAGTCAGGCAGATCTGAATTCAAATCCAGCCTCAAACATTTACTAGCTGTGTGACCCTGGGCAAGTCACTTCACTTCTGTCTGCCTCAGTTTTCTCAGCTGTAAAAATGGATATCATGATACCCCCTAACTTCCCAAATTATCGTGAGGATCAAATGAGATCATATTTTTAAAGTATTTAGCTCAGTGCCTGGCATGTAGTAGGCCCTTGATAAATATTTGTTATCTTTTTGTAGCACTTTTTTTTTCTCCATGATTTAGCTAGAATCCTATCCCAGCTCTCCTCTAGATTGTAACCTCTCCTAGGGCAGGGACTCTGTCTTCTCATTGTTCTATCACCCAAGGCCCAATACCTTGGCTAAGAAAGAGGGCCAAGAGAATGTGATTTGTTCTGACTCACTGAGTTACTTTGTATTTATTTGTATTTATTCTCTCCATGTTTACTCAGCATGTACTTAGTACATACTGCTTGTTCTCTATGTTGAAGAATAAGCTTGTAGTTTTGTTTATTATCCTAGAGGTATTGCACATCCGCTGTGTAGCCCTTACTAAGGCTACCATGTGTAGGTCTTCATTTTTTTATGGCTATGCCCAGTCTGTGTTATTAGCTGGAATGAAAGCCTTGGGAGGCAGAGGCTGTCCTGCGGTTCTCCCAGCTCCTGCACAGTACCCTGTGAGCACAGTCATCAGTTGTGCCACTTTGGAAGCTTCATGCCCCTGACTGTTCCCCTTGTGTTTCCCTTCCCCTCCTAGAGTCGCCTTAAAGAAGCTGTGCAGCTCTTAGAAGATTATAAGCATGGGACGCTGCCTCCAGGGGTCACCAATGAGCAGGTAAGCCCACAGATTTCTGGCTGGGGTGGATCTAGGGGAAAGGGTGGAGATTGTGGTGGGTGAGGCAGGTGAATGCCAGGGCTGAGCCACCCGTGGGCACACATCCTCCAGGGTGAATCCCCAAACCTTATTTAGCCCCTAGCCTTCCATTCTTATTCCCATAACTGCTTCTCCTAATTCTGGGAACCCCAAATATCTTGGGGGCCACTGGAAATCCCCCCTTGCCTCTTACTTCTGATCTCCATCCTCTGGTGTACTGACTGGCTGGTGGGCCAGTGAGGGAGGAGGTGTCTCAGGTGAGTGAGTCACAGAGAAGGAAGAAGGAAAGTGACAGGCCTGGCTAATGAGGCTCTGGACAATGTAGAGAGAGGCCCCTGGCCTCACTCAGACCACCAGAGCCTGGCCCAACCCCTTACCTCTTTCCCTTTCTTTTTTTCCCTTAAATTCCTTGCCCAGGAAACCTGTTTTTCAGGGATAATATAGACAGAGGGAGGAGAAAGGGGGAAGGGGGGTGGAGAAGAGAGATTAAGTTGGAACAGATGACTTTAATTTTTTTTGAGGTACTATTCCTTGTTAAGTACCAGTGCTAACTAACCACACTGTTTCCAAGCTGAGGATGCTTCCATCCTCTTCCTGAACAAATGAGACATTTTCAGTCATTCTATGGAGACTGATAATTCCTTCAAAGTTCTTAAAACCCATAAAGTCTTTTATCCCTGGAGGGGGAGCTTCTGTATAAAGCTATGGATCCCATCAAAGGGGTTGTAAGGGGGTGGGTGGCACCATGTAGTGTAATGATAACGATCAGGACCCTTCTGCAGTGCTTTCAAATGTTCAAAGTGCTCTGTGTATGATGTCCCTTCCAAGCATCATCACAACCCTATAAAATAGAGATTATGGGTCTTGTTATTTTCATTTTACAGATGAGAAAACTGAGATTCAAGGCAATAAGTGACTTGCTCCAGGTCACACAACTAGTAGTGCCAGAGATGGGATCCGAACCTAGCTCTTCCAGACTGCGGCCCAGCATTCTCTTGATAGGGCCAGGCTGCCTTAAGGGCAAGGACACTGGGTGTGGAGTCAGACCTCAGTGAGCTGGTCAGCCCGTAAACGTTTAGTAGGCACCAGGCACTGTGCTAAGCACTGGGGATGCAAAGAAAGACAGAAGACAGCCCCTGCTCTCAAGGAGCTCGCAGCCCTGCTCGGATAGCCACTGCCTTTGTGACCTTGGGCAGATCCCTTGTAACTTGTCTGGACCTCAGTTCCCTCTGTTATAAGAGAAGGGGGTGAGATCAGATGATCTCTAAGGTTAAATTCTACTCTAAAATTCTGTGACCCCCAAAAGCCCTTGCTATAAGGTTATCCCCTATCATAGGTTGGGGTTGGGGGGGCGTGGTGGTTTTATTGGGAGGGGGTAGGGGATGGTGATAAGGTGGGTTAATCAGTCCTTCCCCCTCAATGCTTCTCTTTTCCACAGTCCTGTGTGGGCTATTCCATAGGCTGTGATAGAGGTTGCCCTGGCCCAGTTCAGTTCAGTATATAGGTTCATCATTACTGAAGGGCTGGGTGTTTTGGAAAACTGTACTTTGAGTCCAGAAAGGAAAAAAAAGTAATATGTGTGAACATTCATTTACATGTACACATGTACATATATGTATATATGCATGTACATATGTGTATGTGTATGTGCATGTTTTTTGGGGGGGGCACTTAACCCCATTATTGTCAGTTTCCTGACTGCCACCTACCTTTTCAGCCTTCTTACATATGACTTCCCCTCGCATCCACCATGTTGCTGCCAAACTGGCTGACTTGCTGTTCCTAACATATGACATTGCATGTCCACACCTTGGCACCGGCCATCTCCCCTGCTTGGAACATACTTCGTCTTCATCTTAGTCTCAGGAAATCCCAGATTTCCTTCAAAGCTCAAGCACTCCCCTTCCCCCCTAGCACAAGGCGGAAGAGCTGGAAGGCTCTCAGAGATACCTAGGCCACACTACCCCCTGTCAAACAATGCTGCAGACCATAAAAGAGCTTCCCTCTCCCCTGGGACTCCTTGTGACCCCAGTTGACAGTTCAGGGGGAGGATTTGGGGAGCCAAGGAGGAGAGAACTGGAGGTGGGAGGAAGGGAAAAGAACCCATTTCGGTTATAGAGTTTATGAAGTAAGGCCCCTGGGAAGTAAAGGTCTTACCTGCCATGAGACTGTGCCAGACTAGCGGATAAGAATTGCTGATCCAGGCTAACCCCTTCGTTTTACAGATGAGGACAACTGAGGCCCAGATGGTAAAGTCACTTGCCCAAGTTCACACAGCTAGGGAGGTGCAGAGCGTGAACTAGATCCTGGCCTGCTGACAGGTAGTATGAAGCCCCTCTGACTCTGCCTCCCCTAAGTAAGTGGCAGGCCAGGTTTCAGGCGAAGGCCCAAGGTCTGGGTCTCCTGGATCTGACAGGGACCTCTCTGAATCCAGGGAAGCTGTGGTGATTCTCTCTAGGAATGAGAGAGAAGGAATGGAGGGGGAATGGCTGGCTCATACCCGCCTCACTTATCCAGGAACCCTCAGGTGGATTGCTCCCACTTCTCTGCTGGTGCTGATAGAGGACCAACACATTAGGGTTTTTACCAGGCTCCTTCACTTATAGCTTCAGGAGATCATTCCCAAGAGCACCGGTGACCCCTTGGCATTGTGGTGCATCTGTGCAGACTGGGCCAGTGTCCTCTATTTGGGGGCTACGTGTCAAGGATAGATTTGTGTTGGTGTGGGAACTCCTGGGACTCAGCCTTCACCAATGCAGATCATCATGGCAGCCCACATAGAAAGCAGAAGACATTCTCCTGACATTCTCTTCCGTACAGGAGAGACCTCATCTCCCCAAGTGGGCCGTGAGGATGTTCCCCAAAACATTCCCCTCTTCTCCATCTGGCCTTAAACTTCTCAGAATCTTGATTGGTGGAGAGACAGACAAAGTGTTTCTTCTTCCCAAATCCACACTCTGGCCTCTTTGAGTACTGCAATTCTTAATTGTGGGGAAGGGGAAGAGAAGAGAAATAAAAGTTTGGTTCCCCCGTGGGTCATGAACGAATGGATGATGAAGCCTTTGTCAAGCACCTGCTACAGGCCAGGCGCTGTGCTGAGCACTGGGGATTCACATATGAGTAAGAGAGAGTCTCTGCCCTTGGGGACTGAGGACTACATTCAGGCTGGGGAGACCGTGCATAAAGAGTAGCTGGAGAGGAGGCTTCTCAGACAGTGGCATGGGGTGGCAATGGCCAGGGGTTGATGTGGAGGCCTGGTTCTGAGTGAGGACAGTCAAAAGCCCACCTGTCAGAGCCCAGGGACCGAAGGACGGGTCGAAGAGGACAAGCACAGATGAGGCATCATGGTTGCCTGAGGTCTGTGCGCTGGATATCAGTGGCGACCTGCCATCGTGGCCTTGGGCTGGGCCTGTGAAGCAGCCCTCATCTACATATTCTCCAAGCCACAGGGCCTATCCTGCTGCACAGAGGACTACTATTGGTACTGTCATTTCTTCCTTGGCATTGAGACAAGGCCTCCCAGTTTAGGAATGCCAGGGCAATAAATAACAAAAACCAATAAAAATGGGAAAAGAAATCCCAAGACATCCTTAAATCCACCTATGGCCATAACATGTGTCATTGCCTTTGAACTCTCCGTCGCCTGTGTCCAGACCCCAGCAAGACTTCGTCAGTCTGGGGGGCTTTTGTTTGTTATGTGGTATATTGGTGTGGCTTTCCTCTGTGAGCTGGAGACTCCGCTTCCATCCCCGTCTGCCTCCCATCCGCTTTTCTACAGCTCTCATCGTCAGGAAGTTTTCCTCATATCCAGCTAATCTGTTTCCCTGCCTCTCCCTCCTGGTTCTTCCCCCTGAGGCCAAGCAACAAATCTGGGCCTCTTGCACAATGACAGCCTCCCAAGTCCTTGAAGGCAGCTAACACAAGTCCCCTGAGCCTTCTGGTATCCATGCCAAATGTTCCCAATACCTTCAATACTATGGCATATGCTCCAGGACTCTCAGGGACCCAATTTCCTTCTTCTACACATTTTCTAACTTGTTCTAGCTTGGATGCTTAGAACTAGACCCCTCTCATCCATGTAAGGCCTGACCAGGCAGAGGAGAATGGAACTCTCTTGCTGGTTAAAGGTAGCTTAGCGTACATATACCATTAGATTTTTTGGCAGGCCTGCCCCACTGATGACTCATATTGAACCTGTCGTCCACTACAGTGCCTAGAGCTTTTCCAGGCACCCTCCTCTTTAGCCAAGCCTTCCCCACCCTGGCTTTTGAGGTTTGTTTTTTGAACCCAAGTATAGTCCTTGACATTTATCCCAATTCCATTTTGTCTTCTTGGAGTCAGCCCACCATTCCAGGCTGCCAAGATCTTTTTGGATCCGGACTTTGCCTCCAGTGTGTTAGCTCTCCCTCCCAGCTTTGGGACATCTGCAGATCGGAGAAGCCTGCCATGTCTGCCTTCATCCAAGTCATTGATAAGGATGTTGATCTCTGGGAAGCTGCACCACAGACCTTCCTCCAGAGTGACATCATCAGCTGAGATCAATGGGTCCATCATTCCCTGGGCTCTGAATCCACTGAACTGGATTGTTCTCTAACCCACAAGGGCAATGTGAGACTTTTAAAATGGTTTTACTGGAGGCATAACTCGGAATTTTCTCACCCAGGGAAAAAGTAGTCAGGGAGTGGGTGACCCAGAGGATAGTTGGGATGGGGCTGTGGCAGGGAAGAGTTAGGCAGCCTGTCCTTTCTTTCTTTCCTCCTCCTTCTCTCCATGAGCCCATGATTTGGCTCTTCAGCCTCAGCCTGGGGCATCAGTGGATGGTAAGGTCTGAGGATGGTGATCACTGGACCTCCACAGGGAGGGAAGGATGGAATGAATGAAAACATACTTGTTAAGCACGTACTACTAAGCCCCTGAGTTACAGATATAGAAAAGAGAGGGTCCTGCCTTCTAAGAAGTTG